GAAACGTTGGTTAACATCGACCAGACTACACAGCGCAACAACCCAGAAGACGGAAATCTTCATACTCACCGCTGTGAGAACCTCAAGTCTTACAAAAAATTACTAATTCAATCAATCAGCAAATGCAGTTTTAACAAAACAACCTGCTACTAGAAATTCTCTCCTCACATTTTGTGGTTCATAGTTTTACCTCGCTACGGAACAATTTCACCAAAAGATGTAAGTATGTTCCATTCTCAGTATTGTTTAACATGTGAAATATTAAAGTGAAATGGAGTGACCTGCTCTCACATCTTCCAATTTTAAAATATAATTCATATTCACAACCACCTGTCACCACATCTTGAGCTTAATAAAATAAACTTCCTTTGGGTTTGGTGTTTCAATGACATTATGATAAATTACTTTTCACATAAGAAAAAATTACTTATTCAATCAATCAGCAAATGCAGTTTTTAAACAAAACAGATACAGTTATGAAACCAATGCATATAAAACACATATATGTGAAAAATATTTATCCCGAGTTTCTTCGGACTTTGTTGACTGTAAATAAACTTTAAAAATATTGACAGTTGTCTGTGCACACCAGTAGATATGATTTGAATTTTATAAACTAAATGCTCTTAACAACTAACAATTATAATCTGGTTTGAATGAAGCTAAATCTAAGTCTCATGGGAGTATCTACTTGAAGTAATCAGCAGACAGACTTTCAATTTGAAAGCATTAAAATACTGAGACCTAACAACACAGCACGTACAGGTTTGTTACACCCTATTCTGTCTGGGTGGTTTAAAGTGTACTTTACACTATAATGAAGAACATTTTTTTGTTTAAATTGGTAAAAATAAAAATGACTAGCTTATGCTGTTTGTTATAAGTCCAATAAATTAATTAGAAATCACAACTTGTTACACAGCACATGCTTATATTTTGGTTTTGGTTCTTTGTGTGGAAGTTAGGAATCCTGACTGAAGTTTACTGTGTTATTCCTCAGTCCCTCCAGAAATACTGGCATAATGCGTTTCCCACAGCTGCTTCCTTTCACATCCTTCTAAATCCATAATCCCACGCAATGTTATTAACCTATGCATCCATAAATAAACTATGAAACAACCACCACACATTTGTCAACACAACGGAATCCAGCAGCTACTAACCTGAACCCTGGTAAAGGTAACATACGAGTCTCTGATCAACAGCAATGCAAAATTCAGCGACAAATCATTTGCACCTGGCACACTGTAAGCACAATTCTAACTGAACATATAAAATATTTATCCTTACTTCAGGTAAACACACATCACATCCAGGTTATTAACATATTGGGGACATGTTATAAAAATTCCTGTTAAGTAATTCCTTCAGAAAAATTAGTGAAATCTTAATTTTTATAAATAATTGCATCCTTGAAATCTGTTCAGACTACTGAGAATATTACGTGCAGCTGGAAATTCCTGAATGGTTTGACGATACAGCAGGTATATTTCATGATTATATTATATTTTATTACATTCTAATAACAACATTTTAAACTATATATTACAAAATAATGCACATGGTCCTCAACATGTTAAAAATATAGTTCCTGTATCAGTTTTGTCTCATTTTAATGTCAGCGTTCTTGCAGAAAAATGGCAGGTTTCTTTACATATGCAACATAACCAACGTCAAAACGCATTCACTCGCTATTGCTTGCTATCAATAACTATATGAAGTAAATACAGCAGTAACTTGTTGCTAGAAATTACGAGAAATAAATGAATGCAGGAACTATAACCAAGAAAATATGATTTTAATAAAACTCTTACAAATCTCATTAACAGTGAAGAAATTAAACTATATTATATGGAAAATGTAAGGACACTTACTTAACAACCAGTAACAGCAAAATAGTATCAGACACTTCATTTATAAATGTGTTCTATGAACAGACTTTTTTGCTAAAAGAGTTCAGTTATGAACCAAGTAGTAAGTGTTCCTAAGAGAGACTGACGTGGAAAGTGACCACAATTCTCTTTCTAATATATTGAATAATTATAACCTGACTTAGACATATAAAGTTTCATCACTTTCTTATAAACACAATTTTTATTCTGACTAATTGTCTGTATTTGCATCCTATTTTCTTATGTACAAGGAGTCTGTTTCACTCTGCTCAAATTAATTTGAAAAGTTGGGCATTTTATATTGCAATGTTCCACGGAGGCCACTGTTACGATCTACCTAGTAAAATTCAACAGGAATGAACAGTGAGATTGTGAAACATCCAGCCAGAATTTTGTATCTAATAGATGAATAAAACAGGGCAGCCAATCAGACTCAAGTGGCACTGTATGTATTTCAGTTTGCCTAACATCCTGCTAAAGGAAATTCTCTGTTTATGGGGGTGGCCCACTGACCATTCCTTCAACTGGTAACTGACATCCTAATCCAGCCAATGATTCAAATGTAGGTTTACTCAGATTTAAGAATTTTCAGTTTGTGAAACTTCATATCTCATTCTCAGCAATACCATTAATTCATGTGTCACATCCCAAAAATATAATTTGCACCTCACTAACTTTCTGGAGCTCGAAAATTTTGATCTCTCATGCAGGGTTTCCAACCAAGCACACATCAGTAGCAGAGTGTTAGCTCCAACTGATGTATCAAAATGCCTTTCTACGTTACTACAACATTATGTAACCAAAAGTAATAAAACGTTACTACAACATTATGTAACCAAAAATAATCACAGTAACAAAGCTCATCATTAGAAAGTTCTCTTAGAAAAATAATTCCCATTTTAAAAATTGTGTCTATAGAAAAAAGTCAATTTCTGGATTACTCCATGTTTCTGAGGATCACAAGTACTGTGCAAATCAGGATATATCTGTAATACGATGAAAATACAAC